CTCTGCAATAAATAAATTAAAGTTTTTCTTCCTTGATGCATAATCAAACAACTTGTATGTGTGTGTGTGTGTGTGTGCACTTCACATGCCAGTGTGTCCGTGTTTTGAGGTACGTGGGAAGGAGACAGAGGTGACATTATAGATGGCCAGCTTATTAGCTTGAATTCTATGAAAATTTCAAGAGGAGATCAAGAGTTTTGAACCTTTTCAGCTAAAGCTTTAGTCAGTGCTTTTTGTCCAACACTATCAGGTACATTTACACCAGCCCAACCAATCCATCTTGCATCAAACTCCTTCACGCCTTCAAGAAAACAACAAAGCTTAATATAACCTTTGATTTATGCCATTATGGAATTTAACACATGCATTAAACAAATGAAGGAAAGACAAATGGTGCAAACACTATTATCTGTAAACCTAAAGTAAGCTCTTTGAGGTACTAAAAAGAACGCAAATAAAATAAAAAGGACAGCATGCACTGAAAACAAGAAGGATAAGACCAGATGATTATTGTCATTTACCTAAAAGTGCACTGACTAGCCCACCTACACTCATCTCAAGCTGCCATGAGTCCTCACCCTTCCTAACTGCAGAGACAGGTAACCTGTTAGCCACCACCAATAAACGTTGCTTAGGAGTCCGTCCCTCTTTCCATTCACATCCATCGGCAAAAGCTTTTGCCGCAGCAACCCCTTCCGGAAAATCTTCCTCACTAGATAGACCAAAATTTTCACCCTCAGTCAAAAAATTATCATTCCCTAAGAGTTCTGCCTGTCTGTTTCCATCTTCAGTTGGATGCAAAACACGGTTTGATCTCCTTAGCTCTCTTTCCCTGAGAAGCCTTTCCAATCTACTTCTGGGTGTGGAAGGATTGCAGTTATAATTGTTTCCTGGCATATGCTTGTCCTGCAGGGAAGGCTGCAAGCAATTTGCAAATTGTTATAGGTGATTCCTACAATATTCATCTACTCATTCATGTTGTATATCAGCTCTCATACAGCAAACGTTTCTAGCTGATCATTTATTCATACTCAAATCACTTCAACACAGATACAACTAAAACTGAAAGCATTCAAATTGATACAACATAT